ATTGTAACCTCCCTAATGGGTTGTCTCGCTGTAGCAGCAAAAACTTTTATTTGTCAATAGTCAGTTTGATGCGAGTTTTATTTTATGTTTATTGTTTCGGAATGCTGTTTGTGTCACACATTAGACGTGAGCAATTTGGTGTGGGACGTCACAAAAAACTGTCCGAAGCAATTTGAAATGATTTCGGGCGTTGCTTTTGGGTTACCGATACCTGCACGAGCTTTTGTCTGCTGAAATATTGACGAGTGTCTCTTAACGACAAACCATTTAACGCATATGGCCTAAAACCCCAGAACGAAGCGACACATAAATGGCATAATTAACGCATATTAAATGTCACCATTAAATTGGTCAGGCCCCGAACAGTCCTCTGGTCGCTCGCTGGTCCCAGGTCCCAGTGTCCTCGTTAAAATCGAGCGAGCTGGTTGGTTGGTGTACTACGTATGCATATTGGTGGGCTCAGAGCTCGGAAATCGGGGCTTTGGTCTCCCAACCGACCGGGCCCGAAAGTGAGTGAATCATTTAAACGTGGAGGAAGTCAGCCCCGAGCAATCAGCTCGGTCGCGCAGCAAAAAGCTCTTTAAACGGCTTTGGTTTTTATGTGCAATTATATAGTTTTTTTGTATCCCCATTTCGAGAAAATACAACAACAAGAAAAACATGCTATATAATTTATAAACGATATGTATGGTGCACATGACTGATGCCGTAGGAATATTTTATGCATATTTCTTCTCTTTTTTTGTTTGTCGCTCACCTTGAGGGTTGGTTCTCCGCTCACGAGAAAACAAAAATCAAAAACAAAAAAGAATAAATGCAATTAAAATGCAGTTTATGGCGGCACACCATCAGAGAGGGCGCGCGTGACCGAGGGAGAGGGAGAGGGGAAAGGGAGTGCCAGAGAGACCGGAGACTCGTGCCAGTTACAATTCGTCATATCGATGAATATTTGAGTTTCAGTCCACAGCCCAAAACGCGATTCGAATCGCGCGCGCTCTCCGTGTGTGTCTGATTTATGTGTTAAGCTCTTTGGGCAATGCCCAGAAAAATTGTAGTAGACAGCCAGACAGACAGACATTTGTTACGGCTTTTATGTGGACTGACAGAGTTGTCAAATGGCTCTGCAAAATCCAAAACGAAAGTGAGAGAGTACGAGCAATCTCTAAATCCGCTTTTTGTGTACAGTTTGGAAACAAAATTGTGTGGATATTTGCATTCCAACAGTTTCTGAGAGATCATCATCAAACAAAGACTTGGAAAGCTCAAATGTGCAATGGAAAAGGTTTTAATTGAGTAAACAAGAATGTTAGATTTATCTTAAAAGATTTCTTGGGCATAACTCTTGAAATTAATTTCCCAAAACAGCTGGAAGCGATTCTGGAGCCTGATTGTGTCAGTTCCGTTTGCTGCTTTAAGGCATCATCTAATTACGCGTGCAATGAAGCCAATAGTCGTTCAATAATCCTAACTCCCCTAAGTCTAAATTGTCGACATCGACTCGCAGACCCTTGCAGAATGTATCCACTACATAAATTACCAAATTAACAACTATTATACTCAAGTATCCCCTTTTTTTCAGCCATTTATTAAGCATTTTCCTACCATTTTCCCCCACAACTAAACTTTGTTCGTAGTTCACTGAGTTTTAAGCTCTGACCGCGAGAACGCTTTCAGTGCCGTGCAGTGCATTTACCTGCTTGCATACTGCCTACATACCTATAAGTACATACTCGTACATGCATATTCGATACACACGCCGAGCAAAACGCTTAACTAACGTTTCAGAATACACATTTAGCCCCAAAGCTTCGGGCCCATCCCCCCTAAGTTTGTTTACGGCTCTGAATCGATTAAAAGGATTGCGTGGAAAAATGTAATGGCAATTTGTTGGGAGGGCAAGCAGCCAGAAGGAAGTGCTGCTCGAAGCGCTTAGGAATATGCAAATGTCCAAGAGGTGTAAGGATATGCAAAAGAGGCAGTTTATCCACTGGCTCTGAGGATGTGGGAATTCGAATGGAAAGTAAAAGAGTAATTTTCAATCTGAATCGTTGAAAAGAAATCATAGAAACATTTAAATATATTTTACTTTTATTTCAAGACAATTGTGAACATTTAAACTAATTTTACATATTTTTTCTTTCATTTCAGGTAAGCGACAACAACCCAGACTTGATCAAAGAAAAACCCTCAATATGAAAACTTCCCGAGGGATCGTAAGCCGTAGGAAGCATTGGTATTCAGTGTGTGTTTTGTGTGTGTCCTTAACCCCCATGTAGACAAACTAATTCCCATCTACATATTTATTTATATGTACCTATAGTCGTGTAAATATATCTACGCATTTGTTAACCTAACCAAAACATATTCTCTCTTTACATTACAAAAGCATTACCTATTATGTGCTAGTATTTATGTAGTTTTAACAACATCAGAAAACCATTCTCCAAATACATTCCCCCACCAAAAAGAGCGACATTAGCATATCTGACAAATCCCAAATTGAAAAACAACATTTTATCAGGGCGAAAAATCTATTACATTTGCATACAATTTATGGCAGGAAATTAAAAATGTTTTTCCTTGTGGCTTCCTTTTTTTTTGTTTTGACAATTTGCCAAAGATTTTCCCCCACCGATTGTGGATTGTATTTTGTGTGTCCGCATTTTAGGAAAAGCTCATTGTGTATGAATACTTTTGGCTGGCAGAGTTTTTTTGGCGACTTCTCAAATAATCATTTAACTTTCCTTTCGCCAATTTTGTTATTTAATTGTAAAAGTGTGGGGGGCCGCGGGAAATTCGCCGCTTAATTAGCTGCCTTTTTCCAAAAATGCATACAAATACAGCTATTTACGTACGTAAATATGTAAGTGTGTGGGAATAAGACTTCGTTCCTCTCTTAATTACAAGCGAGTACGTCCCTTGGGCCTTTCCGCCTAATGCGCTCTCTCATTAGCCTTTTCAGGCGAGTCTTATCCTACGTCTCCTCCCTCGTTCCTTCTTGACATTTTGGTGTCACATCTAGGCAAGGAAAATTCTACAATTTGGCCTACATTCTGTCTACATTTAAGGGGAGCGAACCCACACACGTGACAGGTGACGCCTGTGAAAAGAGAGAACGCTGCGGGAGTGATGAGCAGATGAGAGCCAAGGCACACAAATATGTATCTCTTTGGGTTAGGTAAATATATCCTGAGGGCTTGGCTTCAAGTAGAAAAACATATTAGTTGGGAAAGGTATTTCTTGGAGTATTCAAAAAATACTTTAAGATGTAAAATATCTCTGCTCTGCCCTTACGCGAAATAGCTAAAATATTTTTGCCATTAAATTTTAGTTAAATATCAAATCAAATATTCAATTAAAACTGCAACTGATTTTACATATACTAAAATACAAATGAAAATGTCGAAAACTCTTTCGATCTCATCAAAATTATCTCTATTCCACTTCAAAACATTTGAAATTTCCCGAACTCTACCCTCTAAAGTACGCCATGGAATATCAGAAATAATTCCACAACAGCATTCCCTTCTATTTTCTGCCGTACTGCTGCCATTTAATATCCTGTACTATCTATTAAAATTGCAACAATTATTAAGTATACGAAAGCAGGTTCAACATTTATGCCAATTAAAATGAAAATGCAAAAACAACGAACACACGCTCGCACCCACCAAATAAACACATAAAACACAAAAAAAGAACGGTGCCAAACCAAATATAAATAGTAAACATTTCAACTCCATTTACATATTAAATATATACAAATTTTCGTATGTTGTGTATTTTTTATGTACTCTCTCTCTCTCTCTCTCTCTCTCTCTCTCCTCCTGTTTTTGCGGTAGTCGTAGGATATTTATGTTGTGTGTGTCTCTAGCAAAATAGTCGTTGTATAATTTAAACATAGTTTTTCCTGTACTGTTCCTAGAATTGATTGTATGTTTAACCAAACAGGAGAACCGAACATTAATGATTTATAATGATATATTTATGTACATGTATGCAGAATTGGTCCTTCCCTTCCCCCTCTCGATGCCCGTTGTCGTTGTTGCTGCTGCTGGTTTGGCTTACTTTTGATAATTCATTTCATATATAAATACGTACATATATTGTATAAATGTTTTCATTAGCGCATTTTAACATGGTCTCCCCCCCCCCTCATAAATAACTTGACTGTTTACAAATGGTTTTTGGTATTTAATATAAATCAGTAAAATAATATGTAATTGGTGCAGCCACAAACAAAACAAAAAATATATATTTATAGGAAACATTGTGCATAAATAATTTTGCATCAATCATAAAATATTTATAGTGTAAAATATTTGAACCCTAACCCTTCCCCCACGTATTCGTTGCTGTTAGATCTGTGTGTACGTCCGAGTGGGATTAAATCACTGATTAAATCATTATCCACTTGCTGCTCCACTTGACAGCCGCTTCAATCCAATTATAGAATAATATTGAAAATTCATGTAAATAGAATTCTGCGTGTTTTGTGTCTGTCTCTCTCTCCCCTCGCTCTCTTCCTCATTCATGAAAAACTAAAATCAAAATTCATGGCAAATATTTAAATATATTATGTGCATTTTGTAAATATTATACACACACCCCCCTCCATATGTCAGAATCTCCCACACCCCCCCATTGAATAATAAATCAAGCAATAACCGAGCTCTCGCCATGCATTTTAATGGACAACAATTCGAAACGTGGTTGGTCATCAACAAAAAGCAAAGAGAAAAACAACACAAAAGCATACCCCAGAACGTTATCCATGTACGACACGTGCATATCCATTTATCCCCTCCAAAACCCATATATAAATATATACCCATACAAACTATGTAGTCAAAAACTCACAAAAATAACCAAAATACAAAACAAAAAAAACGAATCAGCAAAAAGTTTTATATGAGAGATCGAAATGACACAAACAAAAAATTTGTTTTACCAGTGGCGACTTTTCTTCTTTTCTTTTCCGGTTTTCTTTTATATTTCAGGTTTCAGACACCCATTAAAGCGTTTGCCTGCCTGACAGCAGCCACAAGGTAAGCTCTAACCAGCTGATCAAAGCCCCCCCCACATAACCCGAAATAAACCAAAAACAAAACCAAATCCAAAACCCCTCCCCAAAATACTCGCAACCAGTGTTAAATCCTTAAGCTTAATTCAATAATAATTGTTGTACGATTTTCATGTGCTCTGTTCTCTGGTAGAAACCTAAAAAAACAATTTATTGGCTCGTAATTAAAAAAAAAATGAATTAAAATTGTACAAATTATGATTAGAAAATATAAAAGTAGCAAAAGTGTTTAAATTTTTGCATTAGATCTGTGAATAAAATTTAATCATATATTTTTATTCAATTCTAATTTATTTTTATTTTATTTATTTTTGGTTTAACGAGATGTTTTGTAGTAATCCATCGGGTAGATGTAGTCTAGAGTGTTTTTTTAGGTTTTAATAGAAAACGAATTGGTTCAAATTTATGTAGAATGTTTTAAAACATTTTTAAACAATTCCTTGATCAAATACATAGTGGGAAAACTAGTAAAAAAAAAACCTTAACTTATTTTTATTTGTATACGAAATATGGCAATTAAAAGTTTGAGTTAAAATTTCTGCTAAAAATTATTATCAAAAATATGTAGGATGTAAAATATATAGCAACAGATTTAAGATAAATAATAAACAATTAAAAATTGTACCATGAAAATCCCAATTGTATAAAAAATCTCCGTTTTAAGGAGCATTTCAAACTTTCAATTGAATTGCACACCTTCCACAGCTTTCTATTAGGAAGCACAACTGTTAAGCCACAACAATCGAACCGGGCATAATCTTTCGACCTGGCCAAAAGCCAATTTGAATTTCAAATTATATGCCCATAGACCACACACAGGGCTCGCCCCATTAGCCTTGGGATTCCAACAATAAGAAACATATTTATGCATTAAACAATAAACAGTCGAGAGGGGGGAGAAATGGAGTGAATGGCAGGTGGCAGGAAGGTTTAATCCCATTTGCGGCTGCTTGTTGCACTTGGCAGACAGACATCCTTGGCCCACAGATCCTGGCACGTTGCTCCTTTGCCTGCTGTGTGCTTGTCTCCCGCCTGCAGTTATTATGTCTTCTTCGCCTGCTGTTAGCTTGTTATAATTTGATTGTTTATCCACATATATATACATAGATACATTTACTCGCATTTGTTGTACAATTTGTTGAACATTAAAGAGTATGTGCGGCTTGAGAGCTGGAGACGTTCTAAATGTATCTAATGTCTCGGCAATGGTGCGTACGTGTTTATGGTCCTTGACTTGGCGGTTACCTCGGACCGGCCGGTCTTTCTGCCTGTCTGTTCGCACACAGGTGATTCCCTTGTTCACAATCTAACAGATTTGCATTAAAATGTTACTCTTCAGGAAAGATAATCAGGCCGTTGGGACAGTTAAAGCCTGTGCCCCGTCCAACAATCGCGTAGTTCCCCAAACGACAGACTTTGAATGATAATTACATAATCACCAACGTAATCGCTGATAATGACAACACTTTAGCGCCATCAAACACATCATAAAATAAATAGAGAAAGGAGCGGGAGAGGGAGAGGGTGGCAGGGGCAGAAACCCGCTAGAAACATCAATTACAAAAGTCAGACACACACACGAAAAGCATTGCAAATGGCTGCCAACAACAGTTAGTAGTGGCAGTGTCAAATGTATGTGCACTTGCAACATCAGTGCCACATGCAATATTTTATCTGGTAATGTGTAATTATAAACAATTTTGCTGTTTGTTATTTATAATGGTGCAACAAGGGAGAAGCCGCCGACGCAAACCCAAATAAAAACGAGCATGAACGCTGTGAGACGCTTCGAAAGCGGCACAACTTGTATACCCTTTCCGGGCCGGAAAGGGGGGGGGGGGCGTGTGATAACACAGCACACTGTATGCAAAACTTTGTTGCTCTGGCTTTTATAGTCTCTGACAGACAGATACACATAGCCTTGGGGCTGTTGGTGCTGATGGAGAATATATCTTTATAGGGTCGTAAAGGTTTCCTTCTGTGTGCCATGACCACAAATACAATGTACCCTACATACCCATCGAGTACCAGGTATAACCATAGAAACAACGCACGGGGTAGATTGGCTATTTGATGGTGTATGTAACGGGGAGAAACCGAGTTTAATTCTGGGAATTTGTTGGGTGCAAGGGAGTGTTCTGTGTCTATGTTCTTGCTTGGATTTTACGTGTGATTACTGGGATAATGTCCACTCAGATAATATTAGTGGCAAGGGCTTCCCGTAACCTAGTATGCTGTGCGCTTTCTTCACTCTATCTTCTTCATGCAACATTAATTACAGATATTACGAGTCTAAAAAGACACCATGGAAACCTGCGTAGCACTTATCACATGTCCCAGCGGGTATCCCTTAAGTCGTCTTTGGTTTTTAGCTAACTTTGTAATGTTGTTGCCTGTGTTTGTAATTGTGCAACCATTATTTTAGCTATTGTTGCTATCGCGTTTGTTGCATTGTGCGAATGCAGTTTTAACAAACGACTGACGATAACAATCGCTGGCAAATTGTCCCAAGCGGGGAGAGGGTGGTGAGGAGTGGCAGCGGAATGCGTGAGTCCAACACATTTGCCACATTCCAAAAACTGACAAACGATATGCCATACACCCGGTAGTGCGATGGGCGAAACAAGCCCCCGCGGGCTGGCTGGGGAAAGTGCGGAGAAAGGTGCTAAAATTCCATGACACAAAATGTAAAAAAATAAAAAATAAACCGAACATTGAAAATAAAATGGCGTGAAGCACGCGACGGCAGCAACAAAAGTAAGAGGCAACAACTGTTGCAAAATGAATTGCATTACAATTTATGTTTAGAAATTAAAACTTGGCACTGTGGCACTTTGTGTTCTTGCTGCGGTTTCATTTTGTGGCTGCAACGGGAACGGTTGGTGCAGCTCTCTGGAAGGTAAATAATATACAAATTGATTACTGGATTGCTAGATCCAGTGTCATGGAAAGGTGTTAAAAATAACAAGGAATTTCCTACAATTGAATAAATAGTGGAACTACACCGATGAGTACGATACAAAGTCAATTTCCTAAGCCATAAACCTTGAAAGGTACGCCAACTAATTGACTTTTATCTATTCACAAAGACTTAATTGTAATTACCTCCCACAGCATCTACTAACTTCTATTTGAAATCCCTCTTAATCTGTAGACGGACAGGAGTTGACTCCTTTATCCCCCGCTAGCTTACATTTCCTGCCCCTCTTATGTGCACTCCTTAAGTCGTGGGGCAACAAAACGTTAGCATACTTTTCAGCTGCGCAAACAGCAAAACAAGAGACTCGGTCGGGCACCACAATCAATTAAAGTTGCGCTGTGTCGCTGGGTTGTGGACATCTCTAGCGTTAGTTGGTTTCTGTGGCACACAGCTGCTGCCATTACAATGGCTACACGAGAGCACGGCTGAGGCTGGGGCTGTGGATGGGTTTGGGGTTTGCTCTACTGTTCCAATTATTGTCGCCCTTTCACCTGCTGCCTGTGGTCTATTTTTTTGTTGCTGTTGCTGGTGGTGTTCGGTTTTAGGTTTTTTGGGTGCGTTGTTGCTGTGGCACTTTTAATTTCCCAGTCGAACTGTGGCGCCTTCCCCATGCCCCCATGCCTCGAGCGCTTCTAACCGGAAGCGTATTGTTATGTATTGTCCTTGCCTCCCTTTTTGTTGTTGTTGTTGCTGAACAACATCCGCTTACTGGCAGGCTCTTTAATTACGGCAAGCCTTACGTTTTTGACAGTTTCCTCCTCCTCCCTGTTGCACTTGACTCTGTTTTGGGTCAAGTTTTTACGTTTTTGGGGGCAGTTAGATTCCTGGAATCAGGAATTGGGCATTGGACAGCAGGGAATTTAATGCTCTGTTGGCTACGGGAGCAGCATTACGAATTTCCATTGAAATGGCCAACAGTCTGGAAGGGAAAAACCTTTGCCAACCTCTTGGTACTCTGCTGCTCCACCAAGTCTGCCCTGACTAGTCTCTGGTTCCTGTTGAACCTGCTCTGCTCTGGCAATGTCCTGCGCAACCAATTAATTTCCTACACTGCGCATACGAAATATCGATGTAATTTCCTTGCAAACGGAATTTATGGCACCATTTCAGGAGGCATTAGAAGCTGCCAACCACCAGCCAGCAACCAGCCAACTGTCTTTATTGCAATTACATTTGCCATTTTCCATTTTTGATGCGTTCGCTGATAGAACTCCAACCCGCAATACGCAGTGTTGTCCAGGTGTAGTGGGACTGTGTGCAGAGCTGATGATTTATGCATTGGCCAACACCTTTTGGCTTAAAAAGAGTTGCAGGGGGACAGTGTCTGTTTCTGTGGCTGTGCCTGTGTGTGGCAGCTTATGTAAATTCGTGCGAATCGCGTTTTCAATTTTTGCCTCTTGTTGTTTTTGTCGACACGGTTGGAAATATGCAAATGAAGCTCATAATTTGCTTACAGCTAAAGGCGGGAAATTACCAAAAATGAACTACGATGCTGAACAATGGGCAATGGGCAAAAGGCAATGGCAGAGGAATGAAAGTACGTGAGGGAAACTTTTGGCCACAGGGGCAGGGGCAGCGGCAGCGCACAAACTTTCTTTCGGTGCCCCGGCCCGGACCTGGCCAAGCAGTAAAAGATAGGATAGGTTTACTCTCCCGCCACCACACCCCACACACAGCCACGAAATGTACACCAGGTCCTGCCACTACTTTTGCTCCCAAAAAAACAAGTAGGGAAACTTTAGCACTGCACACATGACCCATTAATAAGTGCACAGCAGAGGAGGAGGGGCTTGAAGGGGCTCCAGGGGCAGTGGTTGCACGTTGTCAACATAAATTTTATAGGCAGGCTACTAGCCTGGTGAACTGTTGGTGGTGGCAAAGTTTACACTTGCAAGCAATTTAAATGCGTTTATCTATTCGTAAAATGTGCCCAAAAACGGTCTGCGCAAGTACGAGAAAAACCTCAAACAGTTTGAGGATTCGCC